CCCCAAAACCCCAAAACCCCAAAACCCCAAAACCCCAAAACCCCGCAGCAGAAAATAATTATAAAATCATTTTTAAATAGTTCAAGATGAATTCAGATGGTAAGGAGTCTCATTACGCTATTTTTATACTACATCGTGAGAGTTTTATGCTTATATTAGAGATAAATCCGGTGAGTTAGAAAAGCTCAGTAAGGAGGCTAGTCATACTCAAATTGACTATCAACCTACCTTTGATTCGAGACATTTTTCTGGTCTCTTTCAGAATCTATTCTACTAGGAACGCATATCTCTAGATGCAGATTTTGTTTGAGCCTTTAGGACAAAATTCAAGTAATTCCACTAGATATTTCTAAATAATTTCTGAAATGTTATAAGAAGGATTTTGGCACATTATTTTCTAAGTCTTATTTGTAATAGGAAATATTGAGTCGATAGACCAAGACGAGAACCACAAGATGGCTGAGAATAAGTACGAAGAGAATCATAGACAAGAAGCTGATATTGAAGTAAAAGGAGTTAAATAAGGCTTCAAGCTCAGTACATCAGTTCAATAATGATAGCAATGGGGATAAGGAGGATCTTGAAGAAAGTAATTCTCTTAAACCGTCGACTAAGGAGGAAACCAAGCTTGTCAAAGGAAATAGCAAGGTTGCTCCTGAGGGAGCCAAGCCTAAGAAGAATCCCTTTGCTAAATAAGGTAACTTACCTCAATGTCACATCTGAAGAACTCATCAAGATATACCGGATGAGTCAATGCAGAGTGTCTATTGCCAACTTCATGCGAGCCAAGTCGGTAGATGTGTTCATCATCATCCTCATATTGCTCTATACTTTGCTGGTAGTTGTATACTTGGCCATTGACGACGAGATCGAAGGCTCCAAGTCTGCAGAAATGGCTCTGCAGATCACAGAGCTGTGCTTCCTGTTTGTGTTCTGCATTGAGATCACACTGAACCTCGTGGGGTTCGGCTGTTTGTTCATTAAAGACTGGTGGAACATTGCTGATATCACGGTGATTCTCTTGGCTATTGTGTTCGTCATTCTGGACATGATACTTGATGACTCCAGTCTGTCAGGACTCTTCCGATTGAGAGGTCTGTTCAGACTGCTCAGAGTTGGCATTCTGATACGAAAGTTCGACTCGCTTCGCAAGAAAAGCCAAGCACGAAAGAGACTCAAAAACAAAGACATTTACCATGTGGCTTCTCCAGCTGAAATCGTCAACGAAATTTTGTGAGACATCAGAGACATGGTTGAAAACGACGACAAAATGATTGAAGACCTCAATTATTGCATCAAAATGGTGTCATCAGGCAAGTTGTATGAAGCCAACATTGACGACAACATTGAAGAAGGCGATGAAAATCGGAGAGAAGCTATATCTTTCTTCAAGAACATCCAAGGCAACACCAACACTAACAACAAAGATGATGAAGCTGTTGAAAAGGAAATACAAAGCAAAATAAAGACCATCGACATCGATGAGAAGCTGAATCTGAACTCTCAGACTAAGGCGATGCTCAACAAAGCTGACAGTCTGAGCTTCAATATTTTTGACTTCAAAGACTTGGTCGAAGAGAAAGGTAAGCGCTTTATGACACCATAGAATTGTATGTGTTGACATCGTATCTACTCAACAAGCACGATTTATTCAGAGCCATGAAAATGGACCCTGAAGTGTTCTTCAGCTTCATCACCAGGATCCAGGACTACTACAACCACTCCTTCATCGAGTACCACAACAAGACTCATGGAGCAGATGTGTGTCAGACTTCTTACTTCTTCTTGGAAGGGTGTGACTTAAGAAACATTTGTAGACTGAGCGACAACGAGTTTGGAGCAATGCTGATTGCTTCTTCTTGACACGACTTCGAACACTTTGGATTCAACAATCCGTTTCTGATAGAATCAAGGCTTCCATGGGCTATTGAGTACAACGACCAGTCTCCGCTTGAGAACCACCACATTGCAAGCACTTTCGGAGTGATGCAGAAACAAGAATACAACATCCTCAAGAACTTGTCAACAGAAGAATACAAAACTTGCAGGAAAATGATGATTGACCTTGTGCTTGCCACTGATGCAGCCCGGCACTTCACAGACTTAGCCAAGTTCAAGTCTAGAGTGGGTGCTGAAGACTTCGCACCCAGTGGTGAAGACAAACAGCCAGTGCTGAACATGTCAATTCACTTATCTGACATATCAAACCCTGCAAAGCCGTTCAACTTGGCACTGATATGGACCGGACTGCTGTATGATGAGTTCTTCAAACAAGGAGACAGAGAAGTTGAGCAAGGTCGCAACCCTTCATTCCTCATGGACAGAAACACCACTAACATCGCAGGCTGCTCTATAGGGTTCATCAACATGCTGGTGACTCCTGCGTATGAAGAACTTGTCAAAGTGATACCAGACGCATCTATCTGACTGGACAATATCAACACTAACAAAGATAAGTGGGAGGAGCAGAAATCTGAGTTCGCCAAGAGGATGGAGTCAAACAACAACTATATTCCAGAGTCAAGGGGTGTCATTCTGGATCCAAAAGACGTGATGAAGTCATCAGTCAACTTAATGCCATCTCCAAAGGGAGAACACTGGGGGATGGGCAAGGGCTTTAACGAAAACCACGCCATGCAAGTAACTCCAATGTAAATGATAACTAAGGCTAAATTATTTGTCTTGAATTGACTATCATTATTACACTATTTTATTTCATCAACCCCCATAAATCTTTGCGGGGTTTTGGGGTTTTGGGGTTTTGGGGTTTTGGGGTTTTGGGG